CCATAATTTATCTGAGCATTATTTTTCTCTTAATAAAATAATTATTCCTTTTTTTTATTATATGACTTTTTCTTGTAATTTTTACTGTATATTGTTGATTATTTCCTTTTGTATTGCTGCGTCTTAATTAATGAAATTGTTGACTCTACAACGCTATCATTAAGCAAATTGTCAATTGAATTATAATGCATATAGTTACATAAAATAGCTGTATTTGGTTTTCTAAAAATGACAAAGTCTCTTGAAAGATAACAATTGGTTATTTCATAACCTAATGAAGGCAATTTGTAGGTGTTAATACTGTCTTTAGATAAAAATTTAATAAAAGGATACTGATAACACGTGTAATATATCTTCGTAAATATATTTAAAAGCAATATTGCATACTTTCAAAAAAACATTTATAATTGCTTTATTAATATGGATATTTTATAAAATCTACAAAATGCTGTCAAAAATCATTATCCTGTCGATGTTGAAAAATAAAGTATGCCTCTTTCTGCAATTGTTAAGATGTGAAAAATTTAGCTATGCATCATTAGTAAGGTTGCTTGTCTAAACTTATTTTAGATTTGACAAAACAGTTAAACCTTTAGTTTTGCTAAATTCTTACTAAGTTTTGATATAGTTTCGCCATTTTTATAAACTTTAATATAATTTTACCTTTTTTTCAAATTTTGCAGATTTTTTAATAAGGTTTTAATATAATTTAACCAAGTTTTACTTTTACTATTTAGACGTCTGTCTAAACTCTTGATTATATCTAGCAATCTTAATCATCAGATAATACTATAAGTAATTTCTACAGGACAATCACTAAGTGAAGCAAGATGATTAGTAAACATGCCAATTATTGAATGATTAATCTCCATCCAATAGATAATGTCTGAAAAAAATATTAATGGAATACGTTTGTAATTCCTTTGATCAAACTGAAGGAATAGATTACTCTAATAATATATATAAGATTCTTCATAAGCCAGCCAATTCCTCTCTCGATAATGTATCGCGTAAATATTGAGAACTAAAGAAATCAAATTGCTTAGTAAATCAATTAGATATAAAAATTCTATATTCTTACATGTGTTACTGAACTTCAAATAAACGGTATCAACAATATTAAACTATGCTATGTGTATAATATGAAAAATTAGATTGATTCTTCATAGTTGTGACTTTTCACTAAGATTCTTATGTGTTCTGAATATATTTTTAAAAAAATCGTTAAATAAAAATGAATTTTTTACAAAAATAAACTCATGGAAATTCAAGGATACATGAAGAAAGCCTATAATAGGTAGAAACAATGTGATAAATAGAGAAATAGTTTCATCGTTAAGAAGAAGACTACAACAAAAATGGGGTTCCTAAACAAAAATCCAAAAGACATTTAGAAAGGTTTCCTGACCGCCCACGAACCATTTTAGTTATATGAATTAATTATCAAATTCAAACCTCTAGTGTGATTTGACTCAAATCTAGATGTTAATATCAAACTTGACTAGGAATTAACCTGTTTGATACTAAGAATTATATTATTTGATATAACCATTCTAGCCTAATTTTAATCCTAAATAATATATAAAAAATTTTTTACTATTTTGTTTACCTCAGAAGGAATCATTGAAAATTAATGAACAAAGTGACACAATTTGAGCTGGGTCTAACATTACAAACCCAATATGAATAATAACATTTATGATATTCTGCTTGCCTTTAGAGGAACTATCAAAAATCAAAAATCAAAGAATAAAGTGAGCTAGACCCGATCATGCAAGTCTAAAATGCATATTATATGATAAGTCTCATACTTCTAAAGGGTAATAAATTTGTAAACCAAAAGTTTATCGAGCATATTCTAGCATGCTAACAATTTCTCAATATACAGAAAACCTTTCAAACTCATTTTCTTTACAAAATCCTAGAACAAAAAAAATACACCTTTAAGGCAGTAATGTACATTTCCTATGTCCCAAATATATGTTGTTCCAGCTATATGTCCTAACTATATGTTCTAACTATGTCCTATAAATGTCCCAAATGTCCCATTTGTCCCATCAATGTCTTATCAGTGTCTAATCAGTATTTTAACTATGTTCTATGACAACACTGCTCTAAGATATATATATGCAAAGTCTTACCTCTAAGTCATACCTTTTATCAAGTCTAATCTCTAAGTCTTATCCCACAATTTATTATAATATTGCATAATATCCTCTAATATGTTCAGTATATCATCAACAAGCTGTAGTAGTAGGTTTGCCATAATTAGTACAAGGATAGTGCTTTTTAGTTTTTCAATATTGCTAACATCCTTCAAATTGAGTGTAGGCTTTACCATAAGTCTTATCAGAGTTATAAAGATATTCGCAAGTATAAGATGTCATCATTTATAATAGGGATGAAAAAATTTAATTAAACAAAATTACTGTAATATAGAAAAGTGAATAGTAGATATACCCAAAGGGGTAATTATTTTTATTTAAACAAAAGTTTACCCAATATTTAAAAGGTGAGACTTATTAATATTATGCATAGAAGTGATAAGAAAAATTGTACTTGTAAAGATTGCAGTTATAAATTTATAAGACCTGCTAAACTTCGTCAGCATTATAAAAGTAATAAAAATCAATACGAACCAGATCCTGAAATTATTATTCAAGAAATGCAAGCTTCAGCTCTTAAGACTTCTAATCAAAAAGAGACTACATATTTAATAATAGAGGATTTAGCTAACTGGCTAACAAATTCTAAGATAAAAAATAATCCAAGTATTATTAGTAAAAAAGATTCTGAAAACAGATGCAAAATGGTTTGATTTAATGAAACGCAAAGTTGAAAGAAAGTCTTTTAGTAAATCACAAAAGAAAGCTAAAGCATCTCATCAATCCAAAGAGGATTCTGAAGCTAAACCAAGCCTAGCAACCCAAGCTTACAGAAAGGAATTACCATTTAGTATTGAGATGTTTAATGAAGAATATATAAAGGAATTAATTAATAAGGAAGAATCTAATGAGGTTAAGCAACAAGATGCTCATAGACAAGATGTGCAAGAGGATATTCACTTTGAAAAATGTTTAGTTAGAAGGGATCTAGAAAGACCACATAGAAATTAGTCTTTAATAATCAAATGGGTAGGTAAAGTTTTCCAATCTGAAGATTATCCCAAATATACTTTTATCAATCCAATAGCTAATCCAGAAGAATATAAAAAATTGTCATATATGCCTCAACTTATAGGACTAATTCGTACGAAAATAATAGAAATTTTCCAAACAGTACTTTGTAGAAAAGACCAAATAAAATCAGTCATAGTAGCCTTATGTCTGTATTCAATTACTAAAAGAAATTCAGATAGTACAAGTGATACATCATATATAGATGATCATCATAGAGAAGGAATGTAGGCAATTCTTTTAAAAGGAGAAATAGAGGAGCATATAACCAAAACTGTTAGAGAAATAGATAAGCAAATTGAGAATACATTACAAAATGGATCTGGATATGTTCTCGAATGAATTCTTGAAATATCTATTGAAGTATATACTTTGCGATAAGCTACAGGAGATTCTCACATTGATACACATAAAAGACTCGCTAATACAAAGTGTACAATCAATTCAGATAATAAAGGTCTCATTGATCTAAAGATAAAAAAGCCTTCTAAAAAATGTCTTCAAGGTGCTTTAGATTGCTATTTCGCCCATCAGGATGGATTTATAGATCATCTTGAAAGAATCTTTCATACTACAAAATATAAACCATATTTAGATGTAGTTAAGTTAGATGAAATTCCAATGCTTACTCCTATCTGCTCACATATTTTTAATAATATTGAGGAGATGAATCCAGATATCTTCATCAATGTCTAGAAATGGAAAGAAGAAACAGCTAATCCAAAACCTGTGATAGCTAGTAAAACTTTAAAAGAAAATATAAAATTCAGCTATTAGCTCTTATAGACATTATCAAATCTGAGGATAGAGATAAATACAGTCAAAAGAACTACTTTCTCTGGATCAAAAATCCTAGCAGATTAATATATAATGATAATTTATATAAAGAAAAGAAATATCTATGTGATGGATGCACTATAAGCTAGCCTTCTGAAAAGTCTCTAGAATATGCCTTTTAAAGAGTTGCAATGCCAGCGAAAGGGTCAATGATTATGAGGAGTTCAAAAACTATGGCTGAATGATCAATGCCCCATGTGTTATTATAGCTGATTTTGAGGCTGACAACAAGAAGTGTGATGAAGAATATGGTGGAAGCATGCGTAAACTAGTTGAGCAAAAATTCTGCTATCTATAGTCATACCTCTTTATAGCGAATTTTTATATAACGAATTTTTTGGACAACTATATTAAATTTACCCTCGTTATAACGAACTAGCCAATCAAATTCTTTAAAAAATTCACTATAGCTCTATAGCGAAGTTGAAGTTCAGGACATAAAATTCGTTATATCAAGGGTTGACTGTAGTTCACTGAATTGATACTGAAAATGTATGGGGTCCATTCCTATATAAGGAAGAAAATAACACATAGGAATTTATTTGAAGAATCAATCAGGAGCTGATCAAAATCAATGAAGTCTTAGCCATCAAATATGAGCGAATTGAGACTGAAAAAGACAAAAAAAGATTTACTAAATCAGATACTTGCTAGATCTGTAAGGGAAAAATTGCTATTGATAAGGAAGAAGTCAAATGCTTAGAAAATAAGTTATCATAGCTCAATAATAAGCTGGAAAATCCTAAAGAATTTAGAAGACTATAAGGTTTTAATCACACAAATTCTCAAAGTGACTAAGGCAATTGATCAAGCAGAGGTTATGGATATTAAGGTTTAGGATCACTGCCATATTACAGGTAAGTTTCATGAATCAGCCCATAGGGATTGTAATCTCAAACTCCAAATACAGTTGGAAGATCCCAATCCCAATCATATTTCATAACTTCTGAGACTATGACTCTCACTTGGTTTGGTCGATATAAGTCTATGAAGGTAAGCTAGCTTAAATATATAGATAACATGTAGTTTATGAATACTAACCTGGCTAAGTTTATGAAGAATTTAGGTGCTAACTATCCAATAACAAGTAAGTATTTTAAAGATCAAGGCTATTCAAATGAACAAATTACCTTAGCTTGTCGTAAGGGAGTTAAACCCTATGAATATATTGATTCACAAGATAGATTCTTGGAAATAAAACTCCCTTCAATTCATGAATTTAGTACTTATCTTAGTGGTAAAATTTCACAAGAGGACTATCTTTATGCTCAAAAAGTATGGTCTGAATTTGAATGTAAAAATCTAGATGAATACCATAATTTCTATCTTAAAACTGATGTACTTAATCTAGTAGAAGTCTGGACAGTATTTTAAAAAATGTCTATGGAATATTATAAACTTGATCCCAGTCCCTATGTTTCTACCCTATCACTATTTTGAGATGCTCAACTTAGGATGACAGAAGTTAGGATCAAACTTTCACAGATATGACCATACATGATTTTACCGAAAAAGCTAAACATAGTGATATATCTATAGCCTGTCAATGGTATTTTAAGGCTAATAATCCCAAATTGGGAGAAGTTTATAACCCATTCTAGCTAACTACATATATTTCATATGTGGATGCAACAAATCTTTATGAACATTTTATGAGCCAATATTTGACTATCAGAAATTATCAATAGAAAGCTAGTCAGAAATATTATTAAAAAATCCAGCTATGCAGAAGAAATATCTTGAAAAGATTCTCAATACACAATCTGATACTAAACGAGGGTATTTCTTAAATATTAATATTCATTTCCCTTTAAAGACTCATGAATATTTAAAAGAATTACCTCCAGCCAGTGTATAAAATCTAAGTTAAAATTTATGTGCACAAATTGATTAATTATTACTAAAATAAGAAATCATAACATTTTCTTATGTAAAATTACCTTTTTTATACATAATTTATCTATTTTTAGTAATAATTTGTGCACATTTTATGTTGTGTAATATGTGCACACAAAAAATTAATGTGCACATATGCACATTGTGCATATAAATTTTACACACTGCCTCCAGCTATAGAAAATATTACTGTAGAAAAAAATTGATTATGTCCTTATAATGCTAAACTTGTAGAATAATTAGATGGTAAATGTTTCTCTGCTACAGAAAAATTAGTTTCCCATCTTGAAACACGAAAGAACTATATCATTTATTACCAAGAGCTCCAATATTATGTAAAATTAAATATGGTTGTAGATGAAGTTTCAGAGATACTCTCCTTCGACTAGACTAACTGGCTTGAACTATATATATTTTTTAATACTGAGAAATATGATGAGGCTAAAAAAGCTGAAAATACATTCCTGAGTGATTTTTTCAAACTTATGAATGTATCAGTATATGGCAAAACTATGGAGAATATTCGTAAGTATCAGGATGTCAAGATTATGAAAAATAATAATGAGCAAGATGAAAAAGCTTTCTTAAAAAGATCTGCAAGCTATCTTTCAAGTATACTAGATTCCTTAGACATACATTAATAGGAGCACATATGGAAAAGGCCAGTGTGACTCTTAATAAGCCCATTATAATCAGTGCATCTATTTTGGGACTTAGTAAGCTTTACATATATGAATTCTGGTATGGATATGTGAAAGAAGGATACAGTGATAAAGTCCAGCTAGATTATATAGATATATATTCTAAGCTGAGACTGAGAATATCTATAAAGATATGTCTGAGTGACCCTGACCTTTTTAATCTTAATAGAGGTGCAACTGTTAGCAAATATAAGAATGAAACTCTAGTAATGTGATTTTATTATCAATGTATATTTGAGCTAAGTCTTATTACTATGTCTTAATTGATAAGTTCATGAATTCTAAACATAAAGGGGTTAGCAAAAAAGGTATGAATAAGATAGCTACAGATTCATATATGCCAACTTTAGAAGAATCATTGCTTGATGATTCAATAGATAATCATTATTATCAGAACAAGAAGCTAAAAATTTGACTATGTGAACTGAGTCAGATCCTATAACTTTAGTATATCTGGATTGTCTCTTTAGAAAGGAAGTATTTTATGCCAAAAATGTGGGTATCTGATCAAAGGATCACATATTATTTCTGGTCGAGTCTGAAAAAAAGGCATTCTGTCCTATAGATACTAAATACTGGATATTATCAGATAGGATAACTACTTTATCATATTGGCATTGACGTAATATGATTTATAAAAATATGGTTAAAGATGATATCTGCTATGAAGTGATCGAAAAAAGAGCTATAAAAGTCAAGCTTTCAAAGAAATATCAAATGAATATACATCTCACATAGTCAACTTACTTGACTCGAATACAACTGAAATTAATAAGGCTAAAGAACTGCCATGATTAGACTAATGATATTGCACTTATAGTTACTATATTTTTTTCTGACGTAATAAATATTCAGTTATAGTAAATGTTTTCTAAAATTATTATAGCAGATTCAAAAAAAGAAAGTTATACACTATTGCGAATATTAAAGACTAGAATGTAATATAACTAAAATATATCAAAATCTTAAAATTATTACCAGAGAAATCTATAATCTATATAAAGCTATGACACCTGAAGATTTCAAAAAAACATTAAGAAGTGATATAGATGAAATGTCCTATATTTTTCATAATTATTTATTCGAGTTCATTTCACTTGAGCTTGAGAAGAAGGTTAAAAAGCTAGAACAAACTGTAGATTAGATAGGAAATTATATAGAAGAGCAAACTGGTCTAGAGCCTGGTAAAGAATTAATGGATTCATCCGATTCAGATTATGAGGTGAAGAAAAATCTGGTAATAGGAAGGTGAAATCTAAAGAAATTCAATTTGAATAGTTTGATCCATCTAGTTTAGAGTAATGACCATTAGCTTAAAAGAGTTATTATTCTGATTGAAAGATATTCTAGCCTATAAAATTCCTTTGAGTCTTTTTTCTCATAATAGAAGAAGATCCTCTTCTAGAAAATTAGAAAGAATAATACTCAATAATTTACATACTTTAAAGTAGTTAATATATTCATGAGCAGTTTCATTATAATCAATACAATTATCATATAGATGAAAAATAATATTATCACGAATGTTAGGAATATTAATAAATTCAGCTTTTCTTTTCTTCTAAAAGATACACGTAGATATGGCATTCCATTGATGGTTTACTCTGGTGCAACTCCTATAAATGTCTTTTCTATTAAGAAAAGAAAGATACCTTCAAGTAATTCAGGTATTTCTAAGGTAAGCATTATTTACAATTTATTTCTATTGAATAATTAGACTAATTTAAATGAAAAGTGAGTGCCAAGCTGAAAGGGTCTCAGGGAGACTAAGTAAAAAAGATTCATCTAATAATTTACCCCTTTTTCTCACTATAATTCGAAAAAAGAAAACCTATTAGATAATCTATCAGATAAGCTATCAGATGAACTAATAGATCAAAAGATGGTTGGGCTATCTCTTAAAGGTCTTGACCTAGGGATAGAATTTGAGAAAAATTTGGAGAAACTAGAAAACCTTGTAAAATGATTTAAAAGCAATGTGAATAAAATGTTTGATATTTCCAATTCCAGTTTTCTACCTCCTCAAAAATAAATTTTCTCAGAGTGGCAAATTATTTGGAATATGTAATATTTTTTGCAAATCTTATTTAAAATTATTTTTCTTACCTTACAGATCAAAAATCAAGGATGTCACTCAGCTAATTTATTTTTTTTCTTATATCGATTGAAAAAATAATTGTATAGGTCATAGGATAGAATTTAGTCATATATCACAGGTAAAGTCCTGAACATTTGTATTTATTTTTCGCATATATTAATAAAAAAATTGAATTTTGCAGATATATATGATAAGTGAAAAAATGTATAGTTATGAAACTGCCATTCCAGGGCTATAAACAATTTATTTATATGCCTTAGCAAAATGCTTGCACTAGAGCCAATATATATTCTGACCCTAAAACCTTATCTTGATAAATGCATTATATAATACATACAGTCTATGCTTTGAAGAAGCTAAATTTGAATGATTGAGGAATTTCATAAGTACATCATTCCTTCAAGCTTTTGATTCTTTATGCTTTTAAGTTATTCCTATTAGCATAGTCAAGCTATTACTGAAATAATTTATTTGGATTAGGTTTTGAAATGAAAATCATTTATTTTTTTTAAGAATGAATAAACTCATTTTTCCTACAATAGCAGATTCTACACTAATAATAAATTTTTCGCGAATATCTATTCTTTCTGCTAAGATAGATAAGAGTGAAATTAGAGCTGGATGATAAAAGTCAGCTAAAGGGTCTAAATTGAATTCACTGACATACATAGTCCCAATATCTTCTAAATAATCTGAAAGTCTATCAGCATATTTATAACCTTTACGAATCAACTTCTGGGATAGCTTTAGAGTGATCCATCACCTGTTAAAATATTAAGTACTATTTTTTGCGTGTTCATAAAAATGAAGTATTATGATATAGTATATATTTTTCGTTTATGATATACTTTTTTCCACCTAAGTTCAATTCAGATTTTTCATTTTGAAATTTGAATTCTATAATGAGAAAGATGTAAGAATTTAATAAATGAATTGTCTTACCTGCCATATATTAGAAAGGATGGAAGCACTTGTGGCTAAGTCTGCACCCACTTTGTAGGATGCTCGCTTCACTGGAAATCAGATGCAAATAATATGCTAAAATCTTCAAGTAGAATATGCGATAAACTTATATTATCTTATACGGATTATTGTTCTAAGCATATCAAAAAAATTTATTGTCACCTTGAAAGAGAGAGATAATGAATAAGTTTATCATAATGATGATGCCTACTTATATAATGGTTATTTACTTTAGTAAACCCCTATTAATAAAATATTTTTTGACATTTTTTCGAGACGACCTATCCTGTAAATTTTTTGGTAATTTTCAGAACACTGAACAATTCCTTTCATATATAAAATTATTATTGATTATGTCAGTTAATGAAGCTAACACATCTGAGATTGAATTATTGAGACAGCGTAATAACGAGCTTGAAGCTGAGAATGCTAAAATACCTGATCTTAGAAGAAAGATCTCAGAGTTTGATGATAAGAGAGCTGAACTTAAACATAAAATTATCAAGATTATAAGATCGATTGAGAAAGTGAATAAGTGGAGAGATGCTGAGAATGCCAAACTCAAGACCAGAATCAAGGAGTTAGAATCTGAGAATGTTAAGTTTAGAGATAGACTCACGAAAGTGAAACAAAACCAGTTACTAATTGATAATTCTTCTAACAACACTTCATCTAACTTCAATTTGTTTGATGATCAGGTGTCCACAGTAATATAACATAAGAAGTTACCTTTGGTAACAGATACTTCATTACTCAAAGACAAAGAAACAGACGCTTTCTTGAATGAGATGCATAATAAAAAGGTTAGTAATGAGATTAGGCAGAGAAATTAGAAGCGTCAAGCTGAAAGAAAGAAACTTTGCTTTAACATCTCCGACCAGGTCCAAAAGTCTCTTCCAACACATTCCAAAGAAAAAATATCTCAAGAGATCAAGTGTTCTACTTCTAATCTAGCAATCCATGATCAAAAGAGAGTTACTAGAGGTAGCAGGTCATATAAGGAAAAAGGAATGGATAAACTTATTCAATTCTCCTTCGGAATCTGATGGTTTATCCTCTATAAATTATAATAATGTGACTGAAGTTTCTGAGACAGCATGTCATAGAAAAGTTACATATGATAACATTGATGAAGCCTCACAACATTTAGCTCAGTTATATGATAAAGCCATTGATGCTGAAGATAAGGCAAATTAAGCTAATTAGAAAGAAATTTTATGTTTGTGTCTCTACTGGAAAGATTTCAGAAATCAGCTTGATGAAATTATCAGATGCAATGGTGGTAAATTTGATGAAAAGAAGGTGAGAAGTATGCTTTATAATACCATCACAGAATAACTTTCTATCTTCTGCAAGAAAAGATCACAAGAATTAGAGCTAAAATTTAGGGACGTATCATAGGATAGCTTGTATAAGAAAACTCAGAGAGCTGAAAAAAACTATAAAAAGTGGGATAAGATCAAGTATATTAATTCATATAGTGCAAATTCCATTTTAGAGCTTACTGATGCACAATTTCAAGAGATCATAGATTATGGTATATCTTTGAAAAAGTTGTCTTCAGAAGCTGGTCACGTATCTGAAATTTCTAAGACAGCCTGTCTCAGAAAAAAATTGCCTGAAGTAAATGCAGTAAATGTACTATCTACACTTCAAATTACTCCAGCTAAAGCAGATGATAAATGATCTCACAGATCTTAAAGAAGAAGACTTCTGTGATGATGAGGTGTTGATCGCAAATGTATTATCTGCATCTCAATCTTATGACCACTTCTATTTTCGCAATAGGATATTGGATCAATATTCTAATCTATATAGAGAATTTAGTAGTGAAAATTTTGATTATTATTGAATTACCAATAATACATCATACTCATTATGCAAACTAAGTCATAATAATGAGAAAAGTATAGAAGATATATATAAGGCTGAATCCTATTTTGTTAAGTATGAATAGCACGAAATTGAGATAGTTACATAGTCTCATTGCTTTACAATAGTCTGGGTAACTCTTTGGGGTGATAATTTATCTATAAATCTTAATCTTTTTTTTTGAACAAATAGGTCTATATGAGAAAAAAGGATTTAAATTGACTCGCAATTATATAAAATTAAGATATGTCTAAGACTGATAAAATACTAACTTCCAAATATCTGGATTGGCATGCCAAATTAAATGGGTTACCAAGTGTTTTGACAGATAAGATTTGATCCAACTTATACAAAAAATATAAAAAAGAAACTGGGCATGAGCCATGGCAATTATCAGAAGTACATATACCAGAAATCATAAATTTGATGCCAGAAAACAAAGTATCTGATTTATCTTTTTTTGAACAATGTGAAGAAAAAAGACCTATCACTTTTGAAGCCAAACCTGATTCAGAGTTAACTATCAAATCTGTGTTAAAGCATTTCACATACTTGAAATTCTGAAATAGTTTCAAAGGGATTGATAATTATAATTTTACATTTGCTTAGCTATGGAACTCACCATGCTTTATTTGCAATGGAAAACATGGGAATTATGGATTACATGGCTTTTATTAAAGTTTTTCCAAGTTTTTAATATACTTTGACAATTTTCTAATGCTGTAATATCATCATTCATTTTTCTAATAATTTAAAATTTGAGATATTTTTTAACCATAAATACTATTTTGACTTATTCTCATGATACTGCAAAATGGGAATCAGCTCCCTTATGATCCTGAATTAACGAAGTTGTATTCTTAGGATAAGTTGGAATATTATCTTACCTGCAACACTTCAAGTCATAAATTCAAGTTCATAATTATAGCATAAAGTTTATCAAGCTAGTTCTGCATTTGTATTTATTCTTTCATTGCTTTCAGTATTAATAATATTCTTCTCACTTATCACCTGATATATAAAAACTACGAAATCCTGAGACTGTGAGACTGTGACGCATGTCACAATTTCAAAGTTAAGCACTTTTTATATGAATGATTTTTGTAATATAGTGTGACAGATATTTGTATTAAGTAATTAACTGATGAGTCAGATCAATCTGTGCGATAATACAGTGATGCTCAAAAGTATTGTATCACCTGAACATAAATTTTAAAATGGTAATATCATGTGATTAAAAATGCGTAGTGTTACAAAACTTTAATTAATGAGTTTGTCATATCTCATATTTTATCAATCTACTTAATCTTTTTTTTAAGAGGTAAAAATATTTTTTCTTTTGTTATAAAGCTTCGCAAAAATGGCAATACAATTATTTTGATCGATTTAACAAATAAAAATAAACATTTATTTGTGAATTTTTTTGTGCTTCAAAACAACCATGTGGCATATATAAAAAAGATGCCTTATAGCATTTTTTGCCTTTTGTAATTTTATAAAAATCTATAGTTTATTTATCTGTTAAAAAAAGAGCTAGAATTTGTGTCTTATTTAAAGAAGGTTATTCCTTCCACTATATAGCAACCAAGGAAAATATTTTCCAATCAACTGTAATAAGAATCAAGTAACATAAAGATAAAACTGGTAACTTTAAAGACCAGCCTAAATATGGACGTTCGTGATTCTTAACTAGGCGATATGAACGAAAAGTTCTAAGACTAATTACAATTGGTGAATGTACTAATGCTGCTGCAATCCAAAAAAAAACTAAAAATAGAAGAACAAATTGAAATTAGTGAATGTACAATCAAGAGAACCTTACATAGAAATGGAATAAGTGCAAGGTTAAGCATAAGAAACCATACTTTCAAAAAAAGCATAGAATTGCATGTATGAAATTTGCTAAAAAATATAAATCATGGACAGCAGAGGATTGGAATAAAGTTATCTGGTCAGATGAGTCAAAATTTATGATATATAGGTCGGATGATAAAGAATATTGTTGGAAAAAACTAAATGAACCATTATGTAATCATCATGTTAAACCAACAGTCAAATTTAGGTAGGGTAATATTATGGTATAGGAATGTTTTGCTTCTAGTAGGGTTGGTAACATATGCCGAATTTATGGGCATATGAATGGTGATTTATATCATCAAATTTTGAAGGAAGACCTTTTAGGAACCATTGAGTGGCATGGAATGGATAAAGTTAATATTATCTTTCAACAAAATAATCCTAAACACACTGCAAATCTTACTAAGCAATGGTTTAAGGACAATAGGGTTAAAGTTCTTGATTGGTCAGCATAGTCCCCTGACTTAAACCCAATAGAATACCTTTGGAATGAAATAAACCATTATCTGAGGTAGCTTGAAATACCTGTTAGAACACAGGATCAGTTGTAGAATGCAATTCAAAAAATTTGAGTTGAATTGGGATCTGATGTATGCAAAAAGTTGGTTGATATTATGCCAACTCATATAAATGATGTAATAAAGGCTAATGGCGGCTATACGAAATAGTAGAATATTATTTACCAAAGTTTTAATATAATTGGGTTAATTTTTGTTTTTTTTTATTTACATAAATATTTTAATAAAAATTCGATAAAAATAAAAGGATCGCATAAATAATCAAAATCAAGTATTTAAAATTTTTTTATCACATTATTATGTAACAATTTTTATACTATTGAATAGATTCGTTATGATGAGTTTAATCAATAATTTGATAACGCTGTGCCTTCTTAATCATAAGATAATGCTATTTAAAATTTTGTATTTGGGTGATGAGAGCCACTGTAGATTTCCTGTATATATACTCCTAAAAAAATTTTCCATTTGTACTACTCTTTCATTACTTTTTTAATCAAAAGTTATGTTGTTTAACGTTGCAGGTTTCTCCATAAAAGTTCCATCTGATCTTCCTTTATCTGATCTTCCTCTTCCGACAGTTGAAAAAGTGAAGAAATTGGATACTTCTGAAAAACTTAATGATTTTTTGAAAGGAAGACTTAACAACGTTGATAAGCACATAGATAAATTAACAGCTCAAGAAGTTATTGGTAAAACTTTTCTTACTTTAATACAAGATGATCTTTTGAGTATTAACATACCTCTTGGACTAGCAAAACAAATTATACAATTGATTAATAACATTCAAGGAGGTAAGCAAACTTCATTCTTGCTCATACTGTGTCATATTTGCCAATAATACCAAATACTTACTTATTCTTGTGCTTTTCTTTCTTACTTCTAATTCGTCAAACTCGCCCAAAAACACATTCACGTTATTCTTGTCTTTTATTTCACAGTATTGGGACTTCTTACCGAACAAGAATTTTTCCAAACAGTTTTTTCATTCCTGAAATGTTTTCAATTAAGACAAAGACTACAACAAAATCATCAACAAGAAAAGTTCCTAACATGCCAGTTCTAGAATGGGAAGATTTTCTTGCCAATTCCTTTTATACATCAATAGTTCTTGACACAAGCAATCATGTGTTTAGCAGGCCTAACATCACTGGGGTTTTATATTCTGAAGATTCTTTTGTTGACTTATTTTTGAAGGTGATAGAAGCTATCAACAATAAAAGATTAATTCTTTGTCAAGACCAGAAAGTTAGGGTAAGCATTATATGTATCATTAAGTCAAAGGTCAACCAGATGCTATACAATGTAGTACTGATACTACGCCACTATTATATAATTTGAAATCTGACACTATACTTTCAGTAGTCGAAGTTAAACCTGAACAGTTGATGAGTGATTTAATAAATGATGAAATTGAATTGCTAAATGCATATAACACAGCATTGATAGCGGAGGATGATGGATCAACCGTGTATATTAAACATATGAAAATTATCAGAATCGTGAGGCAACTTTTTGGGTATATGGTCATTAATGACCTCAAATATGGCCTTCTAACAACATATATTTGAATATGGTTTTCTATCGTCAAGATGATGATCTAGACAATATTTACATTTTCCTGACAGTTTATATCAATTAAAGTCACACAGAAGATAATACATCATTCCTTGAATATATGTATTATTTTGAAAAGTTGTCTACAACAAATCTAGTCGCACATTCTTCACTATCTAACACTGATGGGTATGATAGGGGTAATTATGATGATGATGATAACGATAGAGATGATAGAGATGATAGAGATAATTGAGACGATAGAGATGATAGAGATGATAGAGATGATAAAGGTGATAGAGATGATGATGAATACAGGCCATCAAGTTCTAAGACAAAGAGAGCTATTAAGAGGACTTTGGAGGTACTTACTCGCAGTATGACAAGAAAAGGAAAAGAAAGATGAAATGATAATGAACTTCTCATCAATATGGAAAATTATAAACGTAACCAATTCTTTTTTGGTGATGTATTGGGAAATGGTCGATCTGGAGTTATTTTTACAGCCAAGTTTCACAAAAAAATAGGTGCTCTCAAAATGGCCGATCTATATAAAAATGAATATCTGTTACAGGAAATTCTAAACGAGCTCAAAATTTACCTAGGACCTCTTAAGAAAATTCAAGACATTTACGTTTCAAAGCTTCTAAATTTGGAGTTCTCCATGAAGCGTTTATTTTTATTCTTACATTACTTGCTAGAGAATCATTTGCAAATGTAAGTAATATCACAAAAGAGAAAAAGCAGTTAGCCATTAATAGCTTACTGGTAATACATGCAAGAGGAGTAAAGCATGAGAATGGTAGGTTAGATAATATAATGTTGAGGAGGAATAGTTAACGGGTTATTCTCGTGTATGGTGGGTTGATTTTGGTTTCAGTAAAATGATATATAATGTAGGAGAGCTGGACATGGAATTAGCTGAATTGAAATATTTGCTTAGTAGAAAAAACTAAAATGAATATGGACTGTAGTTTAGTCTGGTTTTTTTCTTTTATTATTACTGTAACCTTGTGACATATGTTATAAAATATTAAAGTTTTAATCATGTAGTTTGCTCACATCAGGCTTATTTTTTATTTTTTAATTTATTATAAGGATATGTAATATGCTGATTTAATGTATATACAGTAAACATGCTACGAATCACAATGTGTACTAACTCTCATAAAAGGATCGAAAAAATCCTGCAATAGTTTTAGTCCAAAAAATATCATAAATCTAACTTCGTCAAGTTGGAAAAAAACCATACTTAGCTCAGTGGCTGTGTGACGTGCAGTATAAAGGGCGGAAACTACCCCAGAAATAAAAAATGAGTTTTAACCAAATTCTAATAAATTTTAGCATAGGCTACATTTTTCAATTATAAATGGAAATTGATTTACATAATAAAAAATCAAGATAAAGTGAATTTAAGCTAATGCAAGGTAATATTACACTAAAAAAATAGTAAGGAGTTGATATTAAAAATGATCGATATCTAAAATAGTTATGATCTGTATTTTTCTTTGCAGTAGAAAGGAAGGAAACTTTAATTTTATTTTATTATCTATTATCTATGGATAAATTTTGGCAAAAAATTTAGCTACACTAACCAGTTTTATTTTTTTTATTTTTTAATATTTTTAAATATATAAATAGCAAAGACCTGAATTTGTCCAGAGATATCAAAGGTATATTCCTATAGAGAGATGGTAATTATAAAAGACCTTTGACGGCTAAATAAAAAGATACATATATAATAGATATAGAATCATCCTAAAATAAAGGAAAAAATATATTAAATGAAATAGATGTATTAATATTATTAGATTTATTAGATACTTCAAGACCGATCATAAACAATTATTTTATAACAACTTGATATTATTCATATCAATCATATTGATAATACATTTTACATCGAATAATAGTAGTAGTAATGCATACAAGACATTATCAGAAAAAATATTTTAACTTTTCACAAATACTAACTCCTCTTTATTATTCACAGATTTTCTTCCTTTCTTGTTAATCCCTCGCATATCTGATATCGAAAATAATGCAAAAGATTCGTTCATTGTCAATAAATTTACTGAACTCAAATGGCATGTAAAAAGGATGAAATTGAACTATTTGATTTTCAAAGCAAAGAGAATATAAATTTAAAAGCAATACTACAACTAATTTTAGAGATATATCGACAAATCTACAATCTAGTTTAATACGAATACCCTTAACATTTTAAATTCCAAGCTGAAGCAGTCAAAAAATTAAAAGAGATTTTTGTTAAGTTATGAAAATACCAGAAAAGGCAATTATCTATCTCTCACTGGAAGCAGAAAAGACTTTACTGACTATACCCCTAATGGACAAATAAACTTTTCTAATATTATCGTAACTAAAGATATTAAAACTTTATTTAATATTCCTACTTTTAGTGTGAGATTCTATATTAACCTTTAAGGGCGTCCTATTTAAAAGAGTTAATGATATTATCTCAAAATTAACCGTAAATATTTAATCAATACATATCTACATACTCTACATATTATTTATATTTTAATTTTTAATTATTTATTTTGTTTATAGAGTTTGCCAATTTAAGACTTTATTTTCTATTACAAAAATATGGCTAGGATGAAAAACAATCACTTCATTAACTTTATTTTCAATATTATCCACAAAATTTTTATATTGAGCGAATTCAATATCTACTGTTATTCCTAATTCTTAGAAAGTATTTATAATAACAAGTGGCAAGCTACCAAAAGATTAGTCTTATTGTTAGAGCTAAGTTATCTAGCTGATAATCCTATTGTTTCAGTAATTGGAATATCAAATTGGCTTCTAGACAATAATTAAAATAGCAGAGTATTATTAGTTTAAAGACTAAACTTTATTTGGATGATCTTATTGAAATTGCATTTCATTTATTAATTTCTTCTGAAATAAGTCATAATGAATCTTTACTTAAACCTCTTACAGAAACATATTTGAAATATGAAGCAAGTGAACAAGCAGTTTTTCCAAATTTTCATAGACTTCGTGATTATTATACTCTTATCGAATGCTAAACTCGCGGGTTAAAGAGGCTGTTTTTGCTAATCAAATTGCAGTGATAGAGACATTTTACGAGTATAATTGAAAGTAAAGATTCTAGATTTTTAATGGTTATAGGGAAGAATGATTCTATTGTAAATATTTTATCATATCAGTTACATCAAAAGTAGTGTTCTGCAAAAATTTGATTCAATCTGACAGATTCAGATTTGGATTCAGATTCAATCCGTAGGATCTGGATTTGGATTCAGATCTGATTTGTTGGATTTGAAATAAAAATGCCACTCTGAAGTCAGACGCAGTATTTATTATTAAAAAAATTTAATTTTTAATAATAAAATACTACCTGAAAGTTAGACGTAGCATTTATTATTTAAAAATTAATGTTTAATAATAAAATGCTGTTCCAAAAGTCAGACGCAGCATTTATTAATAAAAAATTAATGTTTAATAATAAAATGTCACCCTGAAAGTCGAATGCAGCATTTATTAATAAAAAAATAATTTTTATTAATTTTTTATATTAAAATGCCACTCCAAAAATCAGACGCAGCATTATTAATAAAAAAATTAATTTTTATTAATTTTTTATATTAAAATGCCACCCCAAAGTCAGACGCAGCATTTATTAATAAAAAAATTAATTTTTATTAATTTTTTATATTAAAATGCTGCCCCAAAAGTCAGACGCAGCATTTATTAATAAAAAAATTAATTTTTATTAATTTTTTATATTAAAATGCCACCCCAAAAG